AAAGTGCAGATGAGGAGGAGGGAGGAGGGAGCTGAGGCAGCAAGGCTGACGCAGGACCAGCAAGGATGCCCACCTCGGCGGATACAGCTGCTACTTGTCTCCCACCCCACACCGAGCAGGAGCCAGGGACACAGCTGTCCCCTGCTGCCTTGACCCACTGTCCCAGAGCCAGACCAACCTTTCTGGGCAGCTGGTGAACTGGGGACCCCAGGGATTTGGGAGGGTTCTTACTTTTCACCCTTTCTAGGTGCTGGGTGGGTCGGGAGGTGCTCAGTTCCACACTTAGCAGGTCAGGAGGGTCCATGGGGTTTCCCAGATACAGCCTGAGGCGAGAGAACCAGGTCAGAGGGCAGGGAAGGGGTGAGAGTGACCGTGGGAAAGCCTGTGGCAGAAGACACTGGGCCTGTTCCCAGGTCAGGCAGTAAATGGAATCCTGAGTGCGTCCAGGGATCACCCCCAAAGCCCCGCATCTTCAGGAAACTGAGTAGCAGACTTGGGTCTGAGCACAGGCTTCTGACCCCCAATCTGCATCCTTTTCACTGACCTAGGGTATAAACAGGGCAGGTCATCATGGAGGGAAGCAGAGAAAGAACAGCCAACGCCAGGCTGCAAAGCTAGGACTGCAGGGGCTCCAAAAACATCCCACGGGGCACAGTGGGCCCTCTACATGCCCATGGCACCCACCAGTGGGCGGGGGACGCTGGTCCAGGTATGCACTCCAGGCAGCCACCTGCCAGCACTCTCTGTCCCCCCTTACCTGGCCCCCTGGGAGGGCCTGGGCGCAGTGGCAGCGGCCTACCTGTCCCTGGTCAGGGTGGGTAGGAGGCGTGGGGGCTGCGCTGGGGGCAGAGGCGGCTTCCTCCCCACCCGCGCTGCTCCTGTTTCACCCTCAACCCCTGCCCAACTGCTGGTATCTGGGACTAGTCACCGGGCTGATCAAAGCCCGGAGGAATGGGGCTGGGCTGGCCCCCGCACGCCAGGAGTGGGGCAGAGGGCACTGGGGCCTCCTGCTGGAGGGTGTCTGCACTCTCACGCCAGCTCTCCAAGGCCTTCGCCTGGTTCCTGTGAGGCAAGAGACACACGCCTTCCCTGACCAGAGCTCAGCACCCTGTGGGTGGGGGCAGAATCGGGGGTCCAGAGAGGCCAGCAGGAGAAAGGGGTGCAGAGGTCAGGGGCCTGGACTCCCTTGCGGCCAGCAGAAAGGCATGGAGGCCGGGCGTGCAGTGCTCCACGGTGGCTCCCTGGGGCGAGGCCTGCAGGAAGTGACTAATGCCTCTCCTCTGAGTCCTCCACGCACACAGGTGCCCCTGGTGATCTCAGCCTTTCCTTTCAATAAGGCTGCAGCCCCTCCCAGGTACAAAGCCAGGTGGGGTGGCCAAGCTGGCAGCTGAGACACTCCCCACTGGGTGCTCTTGCTCACAGGGCCACCTGGCTCTGGGAACACAGCTCCCTGCCACCTGAGCCTGACCCAAAGGCTCACCTCTCCAGACTCTGGTGCTGTCAGCAGGGGACCGCAGGGGAGAGGATGAGGAAAGAAAGCCCCACCACCTCCCACCCCCAGCCCCAGCTTTGATCACCAGCATCCAACTTGGGGCCCTCCTGCCTGGCACCTGCACCCCTGACGTCCCATTCTGCCTCCATCCCCTGTTCTAAAAGATGGGCTACAAGAGCAGAAGGATGCTAAGAGGGAAGACACGAGAGCTGAGGGTGGGACTGGGGGACTGTGGCTAGGCTGGGAACCCGCAAGGAGGTGAGGAGGGTGAGAGAGAGCGCGTGTGCACCAAGTGCTCTGCCTGCTCCCTCTCCACGGATTCCTACAGCCCTGGGTTCCAGAGCAGAAGTATCCATCCCAACTGGGAGGTCACTCTAGCCCACCAGGGCCTCCTCCTCCCCGTCATAGCCCCTACGTGCTGCTGGGCTGCGCATTATTACAAGCCCGTGAACTCCTCCCCCCATCTAACAGTGCCGAAGCAGGGAGAGTGCTGAATGGGGCACCCAATTACAGAGAAAACAGCAGAGAAATACAAAAGCACAGGAAGAGGGAGAAAACATCTGTTCATGGCTCAACTACTGTACAGGAGCAGAGCCGACACCCCAGGCAGGGGCTCTCCATGCCTCTGGGTGAACACAAGTCAGAAGAGGGAAGGCAGCGGACGGATGGAGACCCGTGTGTGTCCCAGCTGGAGGTGAGCACCCACACCAGCTCAGGCCGGCTGGGAGTGTGCGTGAGAGCATCCAGGGCAGCACGGTGCCTCTCACACAGGTGACTGCAAACACCTGGGCTTCCCAGGTCCCTGCCACAATCATGGGCAGAAGGCCTCGTACTGCCCAACAGCCTTGCCACGTAGGAGCTTCAAAGGATGGGCTCGTGCTCCCGTCTGTGGACAGGCTGCCGGGCGCTACAGACTTAAGCTCCTGTCAGCACACCAGCCTTAGGAACGTGGACCTGGGAGAGCCCTTTGGAGCCAGCCCAGTAGGAAAGCTTCTCTAATGAGCCCCAGCATTTGTGCGGCACTTTCTAACTTGCAGAATACATTCACAACCTTCTCTCACTGGATCCTCACAATCCATTCTACAGGTGAAGAAACTAAGCCTCAGGAGTTGACAGACTTGCCCACAAACTTCCGAACAGAAGAAAGGATTCAGACCAAGCATCCGGACCCTCTGCTGAGCTCTCTGTTCCAGAGTTTCCCAATTAGGCAGGGAATAAAGAGGGAGGACTGGCCAGGGTCGGGGGCTGGCAAGAAAGATGCAGGGTGAAGAGACACTGAGAGCGTCTGTGTGCAGAGTGAGGGGCTGCTGAGCCTGAGAGCCCCAGGCAGTGAAATCAGGCAGCGGCCCTGCCCGGTAGGTACTCACTCATCAATCTTGTCTGGGAAGCCCCAGCAGTGGCGGGGGTCGCTGTCACCATGCCCCGTGTGGATGAAGCTATTCTGCAGCGGCTGGCTGATGTCCTGGGCCGATAGGCCCGCCACAGAGGTCACCACGTTGCGAGGGAAGGGCCCCACACACAGCGTCCGCGTATTCTGCCCGCGCCACCAGTAATTCTCAGCCCTGCCCGACAAAGACGACAGTGAACACCAGGGTGCTGTGTTTTCACACCAAGTACCTGACCACCTTGCAGAGGGGGAGTGTGAGGGCTAAGGGCACAGGACCAGGGCCATGGGCCATCAGCCTGCCTCCTCCCAGCAGCCACCAACACTGAAGGAGAGCTATGACCTGCCACTCCCCCTAGAGTGTCCGCTGTGTGCAAAAAGCCTGGGGTAGCTAGGGGGGCCAAACAATTATTCCTACAGTTTACAGGTTCCAACAAGTGACAGGACCTGCCTACAGTTACTAGAAAGATCACAGCAGACCCAGGATTCAAACCCAGACTGAGGCGTTCAGAAGGCAGAGCCAACGCCCCTCTCACTGGACCTCCTGGCTTCCTTCCTCCCCTGTGCAGGCCTGGTCCCAGACCTCTTCTGGCCCCCCAATTTCACACTCCAGCCCAGTTCCAGGAGTTTTAAGAGATGCAGGAGCCCAAGGGCATAGCATGGGCCTAAGCACTGGCTCTGGGATCCAGCCCTCCAGCTACTATCTACCTCCTGTTTAAAAAAAAAAACAAACCCATTGCCATCACATCGATTCCGACTCACAGTAACCCTACAGGACAGAGCAGAACTGCCCCACAGAGTTTCCAAGGAGCACCTGATGGATTCGAACTGCCAACGTTCTCTGGTAAGCAGTTGCAGCACTTAACCACTACGCCACCAGGGTTTCCAACCTCCTGCATGCAGACCTTCAAATGTTTGGAAACACTCTGGGCAATCCAAGCCCTCCCCCTCACCAGCTTAGGTATCTCCAGAGCTTTCCACACACCTCCTGGCAGGGCTTCAGGGCCCTCACCACGCACCTGAGGAGGTGCTCCAAAAAGCCAGTTGCCATTGAGTCAACTCTTGACTCATGGTGACCCCACGTGTGTCAGAGTAGAACTGTGCTCCACAGGGTTTTCAGTGGCTGACTTTTCAGAAGTAGATCTCCAAGCCTTTCTTCCAAAGTGCCTCTGGGTGGACCCAAACCTCCATTCCAACTTCTCAGTCAGCCACGAAGCACATTAACCGTTTGCACCACCCAGGGCCTCCAGAGGGGCTCCAGTCTGTCTTAAAACAGGGCCAGAGAGAACCAGTCCTCCCCATGTGGCTGGACTGTGGGACTTAAGTCCCTCACTCTGGCCTCAAACACGAAACCTCTGTTGCTGCTGCCTAAGCCAGGGCCTTGGATGGAGTTGGGGTAGAGGCGGTGGGAAAGAATAGAGCCCACCCCCCACCCCCAGACACTGAGAGGCTATGAGGCGCCTGTGTCTCTGATGACGTGGGCAGAGTGGGGCGAAGGCAGAAGTGGCAACAGACTCATGTTGCTGTGGTAGACACATGGGATGCCGGTCTCCACACCCTCACTGTCAACCCCTACCCCTACTTCAGCTCCTCTGAAGTGCAGACAGTCAGGAAGGGGCTGATGGAGGACACAAGATGGAGGGAGGGCGGGGGACCTGCACCGTACTTGGTGAGGTGACACGGCCCACTGTGACGGTGTGGCCTCCCCAGGGAACTGAGAGGTGGGCTGGGGGAGGGCTGGGAGTCCAGCTCCTTGTAAACAAGGCTGTCTGGCCCCACCACCAGACACAGCAACCCTGTGATTCCCACCCTGGCTTCAGGGCAGGAAGGGATGGAAGAAGAGAGAACAACACCCCTAGAAGGACAGAGCCCATCTGAAAATAGCACGCCCATTCCAAGAAGGAGAGAAAGGGCTCTCCACCGCGCTCACAGGGCCTGCAGCAGTCGAGGACCCCCTGAAAGCCATGGTGGGGGGAGCACCTGTCAGTGGAATGTTCTCCCCACCCCCGTGGACTCAACCAGACGGCCCCGGACCTCCCACCCAGACACCCACCCCAGGGCCTAGACAATGGACCCTGCTCTCCACAGCCCTTCAGAGGTACTCATTAACTTGGGTGGAAGCACGCCTGAGGCGGAGATGCTGTGCAGAGTGGAATGGACTCATGGCCAGGGCCAGGTCTGGCAGAGGTCACTCTTTCCACCCCTTTCCTTTTGCCAGTGCAGCCAACTCCTCACACAGAGGTCACCTCCATGAGCAAAAGGAGCCCCAAGCCCACCTCCCTGTACTACAGGCCTGGCCATGGCATGAGTCTCTACTTTCCAAAAACATGCTTGCTCCTGGAGAGGAGGCGTCAGAGTGCACAGTACGTATAATAGAAAGAGACCCTGTAGGAACTGCATCCCCATTGTGCCCAGAAGCAGCATCCTCTCAACAAGGCGCAAGCCTAACTTCCAAGATGGCCAGCGCTACATCTCACGGCCCACGTGTCCCCCATGGGGCCGAGGTGCCAGCAGCCCAGGGGACTGCCTGCTCTGGCCACACCCTCTCCTCCCCCTCCATGACAGGCCCAGGTCTCCCGGGCACCGCCAGGCCCACCATCCGGCAGTCACGGAAGCGAAGACAGATGGGGAAGCCTGGGGGAGTAAGAAGAAGCCCAGCACCCCCATGCTGAAACATCTGTTTCCTGCTGCCCCTGGGCCTCCACAACAGTGCTCTGGGGCAGGCAAGATGTGAAGCATCTGCCAAATGGGAAACTGAGGCCTGGGCTGAGAACTTTCTAAAGCCACCCTAGTTCTGTCGGAGACCAGCCTCTGGAAATCTCAGCACCTTGTCCCAGTCCTGGCCGGAGGTAAAGCAGGAATGGCTGCACAAATATTGCCTTAAAATTCTGCTTGAAACACCACTCCCCCACCCATCTCCCTCTTGGTGTCCCAGGTGGCCCCTGGCCTCAAGGAACAACCCTGATCTTCCCCTCTCCAACATACACACAGACAGAAAGCAAGAGACTACTGGGAACAGGCCAGGTGAAGGGCGCCCAGGTGGACTTTAAGACCACTGCCCCCTTCACCAGTTCTGTTTTTGTCCAGCGAGCCATGCCAGCCTCCAAATAAGACCCCTGGGAAAGAGCGGTCATCCAGTTACCCCTCAGAGCCTAGACAGAGCCCCACAAGCTCAGCTCACAGTAAACCTAGCTGTTCTGCCCACTGATGGTACCCTGAGAAGCATCGGGCCTAAGCAATCGGCCAGAGGTGGGGCAAGGACTCTCCCAGACTCTGGTCTAGGAAACAGAAATAGGTTCAGCCGGAAGGAATCCAAGGCTGAATAGAAGAACACAGATAAGGGGAGAGCGGCGGGCCAGGCTAAGAAGGAGCCAGAGAACCAGACAGAGACCCCTACATACGAGCCCAGACCCAAAGAGCCGCACAGGTGTGGAGAGTCAGCCAGCTGGAGACATGGAGACTGAGTCAGCTGAACAAACAGAGATCCTTGGGGACTGGGAAAAAGGGGGTAGAGCTTCACCGGCTGTCATGCCTCCTGCCCTTCACCTCCCACCTCCTGAGCTGCTCCAGGGACCAAGGGCAGGCGCTGTGGTCCAAGTCGGCCTGGTGACCCGGTGAGCCCACGCTGCCGGCAGGCAGCGGAGGAGCCAGAAGCTGCGGCCAACAGGAGCCTGTGACGGAAGGGCGGGACGAGGTGCACCCACGACCATGATGGCCTCCCAGGAGGAGCCACTCCCCTGCCCACCCACCCTCCCCTTTGCCCACCCACCCTCCCTTCTGCCCACCTTGCTCCAGCAGCGACCCAGGGTGCTAGCTCAAGACACACTTCCCAGAAACACATCACCTGCCTGAGTCAGCCCCTAGGGAACGCCAGGCCCTGGCACATGGGCTCCCACTGAGAGCAAGAGATGGGGGGTGCGGAGGTAAAGGCCTGGGGGCTATGGGAGATGTCTGGGCTGGAAGCAGAAGAGGGGCCAATCCAAGGCTCTCTGGCCAGCAAGGAACAACCATGGTTATAGACCCAGACTCTGGTTTCAGGCCCTGCCATGCACCTCCCCTGAAGACCCTCACCCTAATCTTTCTGCTTCCAGAATGCTCCCCAGAATACCATGCCTACAGCCCCTGCCCTGGCCCCTGAGCCCCAAACCCACAGACTGGATTCCCCCAGGTCTCCAAGGCCTCTCTCCTTTAGATGCTTCTGCTTTCTTCCACCACCCCAGCCCCCCAACCAGAAACCCCTGTAATCTGTTGGCAGGGCATGTCATTCTTGTTCCCAGACACTAGGCACCAAGGGGAGGGAAGCCTGGCCTCGCCAAGAGATGTTAGGGCCACCGGGGGTGCAGGGTGTCCCTACACAACCAGCCGGGTCCCATGGGCCACTCTATCACCCGGACTCAGACCCACAGGCCTCCCCTCATCAACACTCCCATGAGGCAGACAGACGGCTGAAACACAGGCCCCAGGCCCCAAAACGTGAAGTCCAGGTAGAAAAGGCTGAGGGAAGCAGCTCCCGCCCCCAATCCTTGCCTGGTAGAGTCAGAGGAGCCGGGAAGCGCAGGGAATTTCCTCTGCCTGGCTGCTCTTCCTGATCCTTAAGTCTCACCCCCTGCCCCAAAGACACCTTCAGCCTGCCTGCGCCCTGGCCAGCTCCTCAGACACCCAGGGATCAGATAACAGGGGCGGGCCGGGCGGTGGGCGGGGCGAGCAGCAGGCCCGCAGCTGCGGGGGCTGCAGGTAAGAGCCGTGACTCAGGAGATGCTGCCGCAGGCAAAGACACGTGTGTGCCCCTGTGTGGGGGAGGAAGGGGGTGAGGCACACACACAACCACGGGGTCAGGAACACAAGAGGGCCCGCAAGGGGAGGTTGGGATGAGAGGAGCAGGGGACAGCACGACCCCTCGGGAGGCATCAGAGGGGTGGAGCAGCAGAGACGGCTCACTTCGGGGGAGAAAGGCCGGCCCACGGGAAGAGGGTGGGGCCTGGCATGGGTGGGGCTGGCTCCAAGCACTCAAAGTCACCCAGGGTCAACAGTCTAGAGTCCGTAGGCTGGGTGGAGGCAGGGAGGAAAGCGGCAGGAAAGGATTAGAGGAGGCAAGTTCAGGAGTCCTAGAGTCCCCTGCTGTGGCCCTGAGGCCAGGCTGGGCCACTGGTGACTCTACACCATAACGGCAGTTTGGCCCTGACCGGCACAGCCAGGGCTGGAGCCGAGGGGGAAAAGGGTGATGGAGGCGGGGCTAGGCAGCAAAACCGCCCCTGTGAGCAGCAGCTCTGACCAGGCCCACCCTGCCCTCCCGCCCAGCCAGAGCCTGTGCCCTTCAACCCCTCCCTCCCTACCTTCCCTCAATGACCGTGATGACGTCATTCATCTGGATGTGCAGCTTGTCCGGTTCCTCAAAGTCCTGCAGGGCCCGCATGTCAGTGGGCTGGGCCTGGGGACACAGACAGATCATTTTCCACCTGGACTGACTCTGGGGCCACCCACACAGACGCAACAGCCCCTCCCCTGGACACCAGGCTCCTGTAGGCTGACCTGCCCTCACCTCCAGCAGGAAGTCCCGCAGGGCCACGAAGGTGGGTCTATCCTCTGGCTTGTGAGCCCAGCACTGAACCATAACGTTGTAGATGTCCTGGGGGCAGTCCTCAGGCCGCGGCAGGCGCTCCCCCTCCTTGTCGATCTTGTGCAGGATCTGGGGGGAGGGGGGCACACAGTTTGAGGATGAGCATAGCACCCAGGTCTTAACTTCCCACCTTACGTCTCCATCTTACAACTGGGGATGCTGGCTGCCCTCCAAAGAAAAGGTCTGTCTACAGGGGTCTGGGGCCTCAGGACGGCTGTGGCAAAGGTGAGGAACAGCAAGCCAAGCTCTTACCGCCCCTGACCTGCCGTGGCAGTCCCTTCAGTCAAAGTTACCCCTCAGAAGTCTTGGGCACACGGGATGGGGGGATGGGGGCGGTGTCCATCAGATAAGAGCCAACAATCCCACAAGGCAAAGCTGGGAGCCTGGGATCTCATGAACCCCCACCCCACTCTACAAGGAGCACGTCCCCCAGCCCCCTCACCTGACTCCCATTGAGGCCAATCCAGGGCTCCTGGCCATAGGTGAACATCTCCCACAACGTCACCCCAAACATCCAGGTGTCGCTGGCATGGGAGAAGGTGCGCGTCTTCAGGCTCTCAGGTGCGCACCTAGAAGGGGCAGGTGTCAAACTGAAGGCCTGTCAGAGCACCCCGACCTGCGTCAGCTCATTCATTCACCAAGCATCTGCTGTTGTCCCCACCATGTGCCAGGCTCAATCAAAGGTGCCAGGGAGTGGCGTGCAGTGGACAGGGGCAGAACTTGACTACACAGGTAAACAGACTTGGAGAAAATCATCTATAGTCAGGACTTTTACTCAAATGCAGCCTGGGGTGGGAGGAGGAGGGTGAAGTGTCTGGGTTTGTTCCACAGGGAAAGGAAGGTCAGAGGGCTCCAGAATGGGGTGAGAGTGGGGTGGCAAGGGATAAGGTCCCATGCTGTTTCCTAATTCGCAGTGGTAGGAGGATGACAGTTTCCAGCTTTTGGGCAGGATCCTGGGATTTGGATCATTTCCACAGGAAGGCGTGGGTGGGAAAATCGGATAGGGCTTGGGGAAGAACCAAAATGGGTGGAAACAGTCACACGGGCTTCATCTGAACACGACCACACTCCCTCGGGGCTCCCTCCTGGGCGACGGAGAGAAATGCCACTGCAGTGAAGCTAGAAAAGGGGTATTCCAGAGGGGGCTGAGGTGCGGAGTGAGGAAGAAGTTGCCCTGGGTATGGAACCAAAGGATCTCTCTGTGACTCGAGCTGGCCTGGCCACTCAGAGAGGGTGGGACCCAGGCAAAGTCACTCAAGATCTCTAAGCCTCACCTGTGAACCGGGAGTAACAATGCCCTGCCCACTTCACAGGGCTGACTGAGGGGCTGCATTAAAAAGGTGACCTTATATCAAAGATTCTATACAAGAACTCTGATCAAAAGGGGGGAAAATGCAGAATAGAATTTCAAAATCTCATGGACTCCAGACTTTCTGCAGCTATGGATAAACCCCTGAAGCTATTGTCTTGAGATAATCTTTAATCCTTAAACCAAAAATATCGCCTGAGAAACACACTAACTACACAACAGGTAAGCGGTAACTTTGGTGAAGGGTAAGATAGTACATAATACTAGGGAAGCTGGCACAACCTGACCAAGGCAAAGTCATGGAAGCTTCACAGACACATCCAGACTCCTTCAGGGACCAAATTGCTGGGCTGAGGGCCGCAGACCATGGTCTCGAGGGACATCTAGCTCAACTGGTATAACATAGTTTATAAAGAAAATGTTCTACATTCTATTTTGGTGAGTAGCATCTAGAGTTTTAAAAGCCTGTGAGCGGCCATCTAAGACACTCCACTGGTTCCACTCCATGTGGAGCAAGGGAGAATGAAGAAAACCAAAGATGCAAGGGAAAGATTAGTCCAAAAGACTAATGCGCCACAACCACCACAGCTTCCGCCAGACTGAGTCCAGCACAACTAGATGGTGCCCGGCTACCACCACCGACTGCTCTGACAGGGATCACAACAGAGGGTCCCAGACAGTGCTGGAGAAAATGTACAGCAAAATTCTAACTCACGAAAAAACACTGGACTTACTGGTCTGACAGAGACTGGGGAGATCCCAAGAGTATGGCCCCCAAACACCCTTTTAACTCACTACTGAAGTCAATCCTGAGGTTCACCCTTCAGCCAAAAACTAGACAGGCCCACGAAACAAAACGAGACTAAATGGGCACACCAGCCCAGGGGCAAGGACGGGAAGACAGGAGACATGAAAACTCGTAATGGGGAATCCAACATTGAGAAGGGTAGAGTGTTGACATGTGATGGGATTAGCAATCAATGTCAGAAAACAATATGTGTATTAACTGTTAAATAAGAAACTAATTTGTTCTGTAAACCTTCATCTAAAGCACAATAAAAATAAAAAATAAAAATGCCCTGAAGTCTTCTTAAAACCAAATAATAGTTTAGCTTAACTAGTAAAGAATATCAGCCTTGAGATTTAGCTCTTTTAAAATCTATATGGGATCAAATTGACAACAGCAACCCGAAAGATTACATAGGACTCTTAGGGGGCAGTGAGTTGATGTTAATGGGGGAGGAACAACTCGGCAAAGGAGGGTGAGAATGGTTGCACAACTCAAAGAATGTATCAGTCACTGCACTGTAGAAACTTGAATTGGTATGTGTTTTTGTTCTGTATTTCTCAACAACAAAAAGTTAAAATAAATTATTTTAAAAAAAGGGAACTTAAACCAAAAATATTCCCTGAAGTCATCTTAAAACTAAACAATAGTTTAGCTGAACTAGTAAAAAATGTCTGCCTTGAGCATTATGCTCTTTTAAGATCTCTCTATATGGGATCAAACTGACAACAGCAACCCGAAACATTACATAGGACTCTTAGGGGGCGTGCGTTGATGTTAGTGGGGGAGGAACAACTCAGAAAAAGAGGGTGAGAATGGTTGCATAACTCGAAGACTATAATCAGTGTCAATGAATTATACATGTAGAAACTGTTGAACTGGCGTATGTTTTGCTGTGTATATTCCTAACAACTAACTAAATAAATAAAAATTAGAAAACAACACAAAAATCTGACCTCATAATTTACCATCCAAACCAGGATGCTGAGTGTGAAAGGGGATGCTATTAATTACTCCCGGACAACAGGCATAATCCAGGATGCAGGACCACTTAGGTATAAAGTCAGTTATTAATTAGGGTGACCCTACATCCCAGATTACTAGGGTTTCCCGAAACCACCGCACTGGCAAACAGAACTGGACCAATCCCTCTTGCCCCAAAGCAAGGAAACCATAACCCTCCCTGCAGGTGCCTATGACACCAGGGGACCATGATGGTCTCAGCAGGGAAAAGCCCACCCAGGAACCAGGGCAGGGTGCAGGGACAGGCTTGGCCCGCATGGTTTGGCCCCGCTTGCTGCTCTTCCACATCTTCCACCTGCCACTGGCTCTACCTGAAACTCACTTACCAACTAGCCTTGGTGTGACTAACTTCCTCTCATCTTTCAGGTTTTAGCTTGAATAGTTGAGTCCCCCAGGAAGCCTTTTAATACCCCACTGAGTACACAGCCCTTTGAGTACCCACAGAACTTATCCTTGTGAGACCCTTGCACCAGGCCCTCGAGAATCCCCGGATGGACAAGAGAACGGGAGGGCGCTCAGAAGGGGACCCTAGGCCCGCAACAGGCGGGGTCAGGGCTGTTAGGTAAGGACAGAAGGCTCCAGGAGCTCTGAGGCCAGGTCTGCAAGGACCGGTGGGGAGGGGTGGGGTCCAGGCCCCGAGCCGGCAGCACCTGCCCCTCACCAGGCAAAGGGCACCTTGCGATGCTCCTGCATGACGTAGTGGTCGTCATTCTGGGGTAGTGCTCGCATCAGCCCAAAATCCCCGATCTTGACCAGGTCCCGGGTGGCCAGCAGCAGATTACGCGCAGCCAGGTCACGGTGAATGAAGCGCTTGGACTCCAGGTAGCCCATGCCCTCAGCCACCTGCACGGCGTAGCGGCTCAGAGTCCCCAGGAGGAAGTGGCCCTGGTGCTTGCGCAGCCGGTCTAACAACGAGCCCAGAGGTGCCAGCTCTGTCACCTGAGGCCACAGTGGAGGCAGGAAGAACAAGCCAGAATCAGCCCCAGCCCTCCCACGGCAACCCAGGCTCCCATTCCCCCCTGAGGTCCCGGAGTCATGCTCCACGCCCTTCCTCTGGGGCCTCTAGGACACCCACAGATTTCCAGGCCTCTCCCTCCAGGCAAACTCCCTCTCAGTGGGAAACTGAGGTCCGGAGAGAAGCAGCCCACAGAGGCTCAGGCTAGCAACTGCAAAAGCTAAACTAAGGGTCAGCGCTTCCCATGGGTGCAACTCTCTGCCACGAGCACAAGCCAAATCCAGAGCTGGACATGGACTCCACCGACCACGTCAGTGTTGGGCTGAGGCCCCTTGGCCACGTCAGGTGGGGGATGCCTCTGACCTTCCTCAGAAAGGAGGGAGCAACCACAGGCACAGGTGGAGGAGGGGCAGGCCTGGGGGGCCAGAGACCAGGGGCCTTCCTCACCCCCTCCCAGCAGCACTCACCATCTTCATGGGCGGTGTGAGCACCACACCGTAGAGGCGGATGAGGTTGCGGTGGTCAAGCGAGTGCATGGCGTTGACCTCCCGGATGAAGTCATCCATGGCCTCCGGCTGGCTCAACACATCAGGCTTCAGACACTTCACAGCCACACTCACCTGCCCAGAGCAGGGATTGGACACCGTCAGGACGGGCCTCAGTTCCCCCCAGTTCAGGCCAGCCTGCTCCTCCCCCAGCTCGGCTCAAAGCTCTCTGCCCTAGACCCGCTCCTTTGGGAGGGTCAGCACCTGGGCTCACGCTCCACATGTGGCCTGGCTGGAGGGCAGCCGGCTGACCCCAGGGGCCATCAACTGTGCCTCTCCTTCCTGGGGGGATTCTCAGGTGAAACATCAACCCATCAGATAAGAGATGCCCAATATGATGATAGAAAGTTAAGGTATTATAATAAAATGGAGTATGAAAATAATGTTCTCAGTGTGGAAGGAAAAGGCTGTAAATGTAACGGCAAAAAGCTAGCAGATGGTGACAGAAGGCAGAGCAGTGGTTTCCCTTGGAGGAAGGGGATATTGACTTAGCGAGTGATGGAAATGCTATCTTGATCTGGGGAGTGGTTACATGGGTCTATACATACTCAAAGATTTACTGAGCTACACACTTCAGAACTGTATGCTTTATTGTATGTTATTCCTTAGGGAGAAATTTAAATACATAACTCCAAAAGAAAAGGGCAAGATTTAAAAGTCGTATCCCAGGTATCATCTTAACTAAATTCAATAAAATACTCCAGGGGAAAAAGGGCATACATGTTGACTCTGCTTTCTCTGGGTGGTAGATTATAGGCTTTGTTTTTCCTAATCTTTTCAACAGTTTCCAAATGTTTGTGAGTACATTACTTTCATAACTGAAAAAAGAAAGAAATGTGCAAGTTAAACTGGAGCATGGAGCCACTGTGTGACCTGTCCCATCTTCCCTGAGGGGGCGTCCCACTCACAGCCCAGCAGGGGGGCAGATCCGCCTGGGAGAGTGGAGAAGGGCAGAAGGACCCCGCCCCCAGCCCGCAGGACCCACAGCTCACCGTCTTCCCCGAGGGCGCGTCCCACTCGCCCCTGCACACCACGCCAAAGGAGCCATCCCCCAGCTTCTCGAAGAGGTGCAGGTCCTTCTCCCCGATGAGGCACGTGAGGCTCTGCAGGGGCCCCTCCCCTGCAGGGCCCCCCGTGGTGGGAGAGGTCTTTCGGAAGGTGCTCTGAGAGTGATGAGGAGGGAACTCAGCCTCCGGCCGCTTTCCACTGAACACCTGTTTGAAGGCAGCCCGGGGCCAGATGGGAGCCTGAGCCCCAGAGCAGTCATTCGGCCCTGCCCTACTGGGCCCACCTGTGCTCCTCACAGAGGTCCTGACTTTGCTGAACTGCCAGGGGCAGCTAGGCTGGGGACCCAAGCTCCCTCCAGACCACACCCTAAACTGGAACCCACAGCCTCACATGCGGCCGTGGGGTTGGGGTCAGCCCACCACAGGCCCAGCACCACCCGCCCCTGGGTTGTAAAGTCTGAGCCTCCTTCCAGCCCTTCTGTCCCACCCCTCCCTTCCTGTATCCCTTACCCAGCGGACTCCAGCCCCACTCTGAGTAGATGGGGCCAGAGCCTGAGGGGCCCTCCACAAACACCTCCCTGTCCAATTTTAGCCCTGGCTCCTTCTCTGGTTTGACCACTTGGTGCTGTCTGTCTCCACCCTCCCCAGGGAGTTGACTACCTTCATCCTGCTCAGAGGAGGGATAATTTTAGTCTGAGGTTAGACAGTGTGTGTGTGGTGTACACACACAGCGAGTCCTGGCCGGGGAAGGGCCTGGGAAGACAGCTGGGCTACTGGAGGGGTGCCTACAGCTGAAGGGGTAGAAAGGAGGAGGACTGGAGGGACACTGAGGCCTGGGCTGGAGAAGGAAGGGGTGAAGATCAAGGGAAGGGGCAGGAGGAGGGAGGCATAGAAGGTCAGAGGTGGCCCTTCAGTCTGGCTTGGCCACCTCCCTGGGGCACCCAGAGCTTAGGCTTCAGGCTGCAGATTCTGCCCGGTTCACCCTCCAGGTATCCCCCAAGGCTGGCCAAGACTTCTCTGCATGGGCTGGGGGCTTCTCCAATCCGAGGGCATCTTCTGGCCTCAGCTCCCTGTCCTTCCCCCCAGTAACTGGAATCCCTTACATATGCAAGCAATGTTCAGCTAACAAGGTCCTTCACAGCCATCACCTTGGGGAGGGATCTTCCTCAGCCTAAGAGGAGAGCTGGGCGAGCATGGCCATTCTACTGAAGACATGACTCGAGTCTGGAGAGGTTCACTGGCAGCCTAGGGAGCTAGCACACTGACTCCCTGCACACCACACTGCTCCTTTCTCTCCTGCCTTCACCTGCCCAGCATGCTTATTCTTCCCTAAAACCTGGGCAAGGGACCAGGGCAGTGGCCCCAGAAAAGGGCACAGGATCCCAGGAAGCAGCCCCTTTGCCCAGACTGCAGCCAGGAAATCTCTGCTGCCCAATGCCTGCCCAGCTGTTCTGCCCACCCCCACCCCCACCCCAGCCCCTCTCTCCAGCCCTGAGGCCAGAAGTGGGGAGGGAAGGCCCTGGCTGGCTCACTTCCTCTCTCATTGTCTTCCAGACAATGGGCAAAGTTCCACTGAGTCAGACCAGGGACTCACCAAGCCACAGACCCAAATTAGGGCAGAGGCTGCAGGGGAGGAGGCTGTCAGTAGGGCCAGATGACCAGAAAAACCCCACACAGACCCCTAGAGACGTGGGGGTCGGGGGCGTGGCAGTCCCCACAACCCTGTGCTGGGCACTGGCCCCAGCCTTCAGACAGAGCCAGGACTCAAGTGAACGCACACTTGTCAGCGAGCTCCGCTCCTGCCCAGCACCCAGACACCCAGGGGACGTGGTGAAATCGCTGCACACAGGCTGCTCACGTGTGTCCATCCGTCTCTGGAGGAATGACACTTAGCCAGGCAGCTCTACAAGTACCCTGCCCGATAAGACCCTGGAGGAGTGAGGCCTGTACAAAGTGTGAGGGGAAGGTGGAGAGATGAAGCCTACCCATGGTGGGGGAGGTCTCCTAGGGCCGACAAGGGAGTTGGGCCCTGCCCCCACCGTGCCACTCCTCCTCCACCCACCTTGCTCATCCAGGACCTGCGCTTGCACATGGCCTTCCTCCTCTTCACAGCCTCCCACAGCCGCCGCTGGCCTGCAGGGAGGGAGGGGGACCGGGGCCGTCAGGGAGGCCCCCGCCCCCCAGAGTCACTGCTTCCCACCTGTCAGAGGTGGGCCCGCCACTGGATACCGTCCAACACAAGACACCAGTGAAGCCCACCCCAACCACCCAGGGCCCTCGATTAACCCGATGGTAACTGCATTCCACTTTCAGGCTGTGGTTCCCCAACGGGGGGAGGGGCTTAACCACCAAAGCCGAACAGCCACGGTCTTCTCCCAGCCGCTGGGGAAAATCAAGGCAATGAATGGAATTTTCCCAATTTTGCGTTTTTCTCCCATAAAATTTTCTTAAGCTGTTGGCATCAGACACCAACTATCCTGGCCAAAAAGTAGCATAAGTCATTGTCTAACTCAGCACATTATTACCTATTTGGCTATCTTAAGCCGAATGCACTGATAGGTCTCTAACATGACTTCTAGCTGCTGCAACCCCTACCTTTAGGATCAATACAAACATAAGAAATGAATTCAGCTTATAAAGTACATCTTTGTGCATGTGAGAGAGACAGAGACAGACTTCACGGCTCCAATTCGCCGTTACACCTGCACGTTGCTCCCACAGCACCTACTACGTGCACCATCTACTGGTGCCTTCCCACCCCACCCCAGGGGCTCAGGGCCAGGCGGCACGGGTTCTCAGCTATGCCACCCATGGAATGAAGAGGGAAAAGGTTCTTCCATGTGACCGGCAGTCCTGAGGGTAGAGGAGGTAACTGGTCAGTGGCGAGAGGACAAGCAAAGCCAGCATCCCCACCTACCAGGCCGTCCCATGCCGATCTTCTCCAGGTCTTCATTCTTGACATACTCAAAGTGGGACAGGCGTGTGACGTTGAGGTCGTCGCGGAGCCGCAGGAAGTACTGTTGTAGCTGCACCTCCGACAGCAGCTCCAGCAGCCAGCCTGTGCCCTCCTCTGGCTGCATGCTGCTGCTCCCCAGCCTCTGTGGGGAAGTGAGAAAGGCTCAGAGACCACAGGCCCCAGGGAGCTAGCAGGGAACCCTGCCCCAGATGCCCTGGGCTCACCCACATCCTACTATGCTGCTGTCTGCAAGGCCTCAAACCACCTTCCTGCTCCCCAAAACAGCTATACAGGAAAGCCTGTGCCCCCACACCTGCTAGCGACAAGGATACAATCAGGGCTGTTGGGACACAGCTCTGGCCCAGGAGTCAGGAGTCGAGGTCTTACTACCCATCCCAAATTTGATGGACCCCAGGAAGAGATTTCAGCACCAGACGAACTCTACTTTAGGCTCCTCTCAGTGCCTGACATTCCTGGAGCCTCTGCGGACAATCCAGTCACCAAATACCCAGGGACCACAGTTCAAGCACCTACAGGGCCACAGCCAGTGTAAGACAAGAGAGAGTGGTGTGGACTGGGGCAAGCGACTAGAAGGTGCAATGCTCAGCTCCTGTCGATGGCTGTCTTGAGCGACTGTGGCCCAGTGTTGTCAAAGCTTTCTGTTTTTTTCAAAAAATATCAGAAATCTGACTTACTTGTGAACTCTCACCACTAAAAGCTGTTTGAAAAGGTAATATATGCACACGGTAAAAAATCCAGAAGGCACACAGGAGCCTACAGTAAAGGAAGTCTCATTCTCTTCTCTACTGCACAGCCGCCTAGCCACCACCCCTCCACAAAGGCAGCTGCCAGTAATATCTTTTACTTATCCTTCCAGATTTTGTTTCTCCCCGCAAATATTCACACATTACCCATACCATTCTGTCCCTTGTATTCACTTAACATTCAAGTTTGAAACACACACACACTGCGCTGGCCAAACAAAACACATCTCAGGCCAAATCAGCCAATGGGCCACTAGAGAGCAACCTCCCCCTCCACTGTCTTTGGCCCAGGGAAAGAGGATGGTGGCACCCTCAAAGCTAAGCAGCCCGGTCCACTGGACACCAAGCCTATCCCTGTCCAAGGAAGATGTCTCAGAGCTGAGGGCTTAGCAAGGCCAGCCCCTGACCCACATTCTATCATGACTGAGGAAGAGATGAGAGGAAAAAGACCAGCTGCGTTCCAGGGGCCAGGTGGCCCCCTTTCTCCCCAACTCAGAGGTGGCCTCATCCTCTACTCTTATCACGCACTGCGCTAAGAGGAGCAGGTGCTCACAGCCCAGGCCCAGCGTGAGTCTTCTGCCCCCACAGTTCCCAGCGGGCCTGCCAACACAGTACCAAAAGTTCAGACTTTCCCAGGCAGCTAAGGGCAGTACAAGGAGTGACAAACGCGAACGAGAAAGCCTCAGTTCAAGCCCTGGCTCTTCCACCAAGGGGGTTGGACCATGTAGGTAGTTTTCAAATGTTAAGCTGCAACCCTTTTCTCAGATGGTTCTCGTGAGGGCTGTATAACCTTCCATGGGACACTTTTTGGGGGATGCTGTATAGGAGTCCCTGGGTGGTGTAAACAGTTAATGTGCTCAGCTGCTAACCAAAAGGTTGGAGGTTCAAGTCTACCCAGAGGTGCCTCAGAAGAAAGGCCTGGCAATCTGTTTCTGAAAAATCAGTCATTGAAAACCCTATGAAGCACCGTTCTACTGTGACACACACAGGGTTGCAGTGAGTCAGAATCAACTTGACGGCAACTGAAGTGGCATTTAGGAGTAGGTGGGGGACAAGAATATGGGCCATCTTGCAATGCACAGAGCAGTTTCACACCCTGTCCCAAATCCTATATAACTTAACTCATTCAGGCAAAAAACCTGTTTATATAGTGAAGCCTGTGAGAGCTGGAACTCAACGGGACTGCCGTGTTTTTCCAGGTCTCGTAAGTTTTCTGCCTTTGACAGGGTACAGTCTTACCACTTTTCTGTCATTCTCTATTAGTAGCAACTATTTGAGTTTTCCTTCTCTGACAGGTTTCTGCTTTACACAGGTTCCGGCTTTTGCAGATTTTGCTGTAATCGTCCAAACCTAGACCCTAATTCCATTTCACATACAAACAAGAAAGTATTTTTGCCGTTTTAGTACACACTAAATTTTCCTGGAACCGAACTACTGTGTAAACTGAGGGAAAACCAGACTTTGGTTTTTATTCAGAACTTGGCAAAAGCTGCTATTTGAAAAATGTCACTTGAAGTCAGTGCGCTCTAGTTTCAAAGCGCCCCTCCAGTCAGCACTTGTGATGGCACCTTTGTGGGGGTTCTACCTGAGGGCTCAGCATCTGACTGCTTTGTTACGTCATCTAGGGTAGTCATGCCCTACGACTGACATATAAGATCACATAAAATGTTACACTTTCCTTACTTCTCCTTTATGTTATAGCTGCATTATATTGACTTTTTGAGTGTACCTATATACATGCATAGTAAACAGGCTATATTTCTATTAATTTAAGAGCAGTAACAATGAAAACAATATGTAACACTTCAACTGCACTTCCAATACGCCAGGCACAGCTCTAAGCATGTAGCTGTATTAACTCATTTATCCTCAACAAAACCATCTCTTACAAAAAAGAGAGTCTGGGGTTTAAGGTGGGGGGTGGGGGCACCACTCCTTTCCAGGAGAAATCCCCAAGGATGCATTATGAAAATCACCAAAATAGGGGAAGCCTATCGGCAGCCTGGCCAGGCGGGGCCAGCCGTTTCTACCACCACTGCCCTGTCCCTGGAGCAAAGGGATCCCACCCCTACACAGCTCAGCCCCAAGGCATGGGCTCCTAGGCCCCCCAGGGAGAGCAGTCTGTAGGTTCCCCCTCCTCCACTGCCAGGGCTCAGGCTTCTCACTACTACCCTCCTCTGGGGCAGGGGGCAGCAGCTCCTGAGAGCAGCTCAAAGCACGGGGTGGTCAGGGCTGGGGAACACCCGGAGGTCCCTCCTCTGGGGCAGGAGGCAGCAGCTCCTGAGAGCAGCTCAAAGCGCGGAGTGGTCAGGGCTGGGGAACACCTGGAGGTCCCTCCCCTGAAGCTACTGAGAGCACAGCCCTCTCCCTGAAACAGCAGCTCACAAACCTCCCCTGCCCAGCTGGACACTCCCCTTGCCCCCTTCCCGCACAGGGCGGCTCTGCGTGGGTGTATGAGAAGACTGCAGAGCACCCTGGGCCCGGTGAGGGGAAGGAGTCAGGGCCCAGGATCCCACAAAGCCCAGGGTGACCCTGGACAAGTCGCCTCCCCTTCCCTCTCCCCCAGTCCGAGTTTGTTTGTTTGGGAGCACTGAGCATTGCTGCAGCTTCGCCAGCAGAGTCTGCAACCCCGCCTGTGCCCAGACCCAGGACAGAGCGGGGCGTGTACACCTGTCTCTGACATGTGTAGCTCTTGTGGTCGGCGTGCGCAGCACACACTTTTCTACCACACTTGCCAACAAGCATGCAGCGGCCAGAAGGGAGAGGCCGCTGGGCCCAGGCCCCGCCAGCCCTCACTAGTGTCCCTCAGCCATCCCCGGTCCTGCTCTCCACCCCCAGCAGGCAGAGCACGGGCCTGCCGCTGAGGAGCCTCCAGCGGCCTGTCAAGCCAACCCTCGCCCCAGCTCCCCACTCACTGTGTACAGACGTCGCCGAAGTCTGGCCAGGAGAGGGAAGGAGAGCTCGAGGCCAGGGAACCGACGGGCTGCCGGCATCTCCACGGAGCTGGAGCCCCAAGCGGGTCACTGGGGCTCGGCCCGGGAAGTGGGGGAGCAGGGGCCTCAGCTCCTGAGCTTCAGGATCTGCCCAGAGGAAATCTGCCCCGGAGCCCCCAAATCCCACACCGGGGGTGGGAAATGGGGCAGAAGAATGGGGTGGGCCCCTTTTCTCCACGGGAAGCCCGGGTGGGTTTCCACAGCTGGTAGGTATGGCAAGGCGCAGGTCAGCTCTCCTGGCTGCAGCCAGCCCAGCCCGTCTCTGTCCTGTTCCTCGCCTTCTCTCCAGGGCAGTGGTCACAGCTCCAGCCCTGCTCCCTGGCTCCCCCACCCGACTGCCGCCCGCCCTCCCGCTGCCCTCCCTCCTCCCCAGCTGAGCAGCTTTGACACTGGCTGAAAAAGGACCTTTCTGAATCACTGCCAAGAGGGCGGCGGGAATGGGGGGACTCTTCCTCCCAGCCACCCGCGCTGGCCCCCCTGCCTCCCCATACACAAGGCCCCCTGTCTCTGGCTTCCACCCCAGCCCCCACAGTTGCAGACAACTCCTGGGATTTGGGGGTGGGGGCTATGTGAATCAAGCAGCAACGCACAAAGAAGGGCTATAGGCTCCCACATGAGTTTGTCTGCGACTGTGGGGGCTAGAACAGAGCCTGAGTCGGGGGCTTGGAGCCCAGAGAGTGTTTTCCCTGAGTCCAGCAGGCAGACCCTCCTGAGACCCTCCCCCACCCCGTCCCAGCCTTGGCTGGGCGTCTCCTGGCTCAGACCCTAATGTGGCCCTGTTACCCTGGTGCCCGACGGAAATAGGAGGCCGGCAACCCGCCAGTGGGGCAGTCCAGCCAAGAAGTGGGGGGGGCTGAGGGATCTCCACCCCCTCCCTTGGGGTTGCCTTGTCTGCTGCCCACAACACTCGGTGTAGGGTGTAGTGCCTCCCCAGACCAGCTGGCCAAAATCCAAAACCCCCTCAAAACAAACAAATATGCCCCTAAACCCCTGCTGAGATGCCCCCACCCCAGAGCTGTACAGGATCCCAGGCTGGAGAAGGTCTCTTTTTTATCACCCCCACACAGTCAACAATCAGAGCTTAAGGGGACTAGAGACACTCCATCAAGCCCCGGAGGGCCCCCCACGTTCCTAAAGCTGACAAATGATCCCTCTGCCCCTCCTCAAAGAGCGCCAGCTGCTCTTACATCCCCCTAGCTTCGGCCCCCAGACACACCTGACAGCTGCAGGAAGTCCTCTCAGCTCCCCAGCCCCCTGCCCCCCACCATGCCTGGGGAGCCCCTGTTTCTTGCACACTGCTCTCTTGTCCCTGTCCAGCTGGCCACCAGCTCAGGAGGCCGCAGCTGGCTGGCAGGGTAGGCAGCTGGGGCGAGAGAGGTTTGGGG